GTCTAGTCCATTAGTCCAAGTGGTTTGGTTATTGTGTGTCTGCAAGTGTATGTGCGTGAGTAAGTGTGTATGTATGTGCGCCTCTTTTTTACCGTCTTCGTCCTCGCCTCGGAGCGGGTGTTGTGTATGGCTGACAGGTGACCCCCAACCTACATCGCCTACCTAGACAGGTACCCAAGGTACGTACCCTAACCTGACTACTGCTAGCGGGAGGCGCGTGTGTGTGTCTATCTGACCACCCGGGATGCTCAATCGGGCAGAGCCGCGGCCAATATCGCCGACCTCCTTGGCTGGCCGCCGCAACCATCTAGCCGAGGCAGGACGGGGAAGCTCTCTGTTGTTTTTTTTTTTTGTGTTTTTTTTTTTTTTTTTTTTTTTTTTTGGTTGTTGAAAAGGATGCCGTCACGGTGATGGGGGAAACACATAATACCGGGGGGAAAAGACGGGAAACCGGTGAGGGCTCGCGCGGGTCTCGATGCTGTACATGGCCATACCGGTCAGGGCGCGATGGGGACCTGGGGGTGCGCAAGAGGCAAGAGGCAGCGAGGTAACAATATCAAAAAAGTCAGAGCCGAAATGGCGGTGTCGAAACCCAAGAAGCAGTCCTGTCCAGCCGTCTGCTCCGTTCCGCTTGGACAAAAAAAACGTGTGTGACCTACCCAAACCAGCGAAGTCTCTTTTTATTATTAGTTCATGTCCACTCAATCCCTCCGGCGGATCCGGAGATAGGTGTCTGTGGGACTGATGAAGCGAAGCATGCATGTTGTTCTGTTCACAGGCCTGCACGGGTTGTCCGTCCTCCCCATGGGCGTGGCTGTTGGACATGCATCAGTGACAGGGGGGTCGCGATGGATGATATGGGTTTCCGGTTGCGAGACTTCAGGTCTTGGGGGGCTCACAGTGTGGGGACCTTGCAAGCACACGATTTGGGTTGAACTGAAGCTGACGGAGCTGACGGAGCTGACGGAGCTGACGGCGGGGGAGAGCTTGAGGAGACAAAGAGGGAGAAAAAAAGACAACAACAAAGGCAAAACCCACTCTGCCGTCCCGATTGGAAGGGCCAGGCAATCACTTGACACACCGGTCAGCTCCACCCGCCGCCAAAGCACGACAAAGGTGCAGTGCAGTGCGGTGCGGCCAGCTGGATCACAGCCCGGCGACAGAACAGCCAGATCACAGAGCAGGGACGGCTCCAACGACGGCGTCACTGCCAGCACCACCACAACCAGCAGTAGCAGCAGCACCACCACCACCACCACCCGCTCGCCCGTCGCGCACATACACACACCTGCCGGCAGCAGAACGCTGGACTGAGGCCTAAGCTGCGTGGCTCGGACCCGACCTTTTTTTCTTTTTTCTTTTGCAGTGCAACGCTCCCAAGCACAGGGCCACCACGACCGACCGCAAAAAAAAAAAAAAAAAGCCCAACCGAGCTCTGCCTAACCCCTCACTGACCACGTTGCGCCTTGCCGCCGGGAATTGAAGAGACGCTCGTTGCAGCCAACAGCGCAGACAGGACCGAGGCAGCAGCACATACACATAGAACCTCGTCGGCCATTCACACCCATTCATATCTCATCCAAAGACACATCACACACAGACACACACGCATCACATACACAAACACCCACACCCACACCCACACCCTCAGGGTTCAAGCGAAGAACGCAAGCCAAGAATTATTTTTATTAAAAAAAAAAAAGCAAACAAAAAGTAACACAAAATGGCGGGCAAGAAGGGCGGCGGCGGCGGCGGCGGCGAGGGCAGCAAGAAGGCGCAGGGTCAGGCCCGCAAGGCCGACGCGGCGGCTCAAAAAGCCGCCGACGAGGACTCCCGCCGGGAGGCGCGGGACGCTGCAGAATGGGATAAGGGCGCAAAGAACAACTCCAAAAAGTAAGTCAAGACGAGAAGAGAGAAAGAGAGAGAGAGAGAGAGAGTACGGGAGAGCGTAGAGCAACAAAACAGAAGAGTGCGCGCGCGTGTGCGCTGTGCATGCGCCCGTGGCTCCCAAGGCTCGGCGACATGTTCTCCCCCTCCCGATTCCGTTGCCGGTGCCGATCTGACCTCCCCCCTCCCATCGCCCCCATCGGCCCTGTTGATTTCTCTCGTTTCCCGCCCTTTCCTCGCAAATATGGCCCGCCTCTTGCCCGTGGCCGGACGCGCCTGGGCCCGACATGAAGCAGACAATACATGAAGCAGACATACAGACAGCAGGCTTTGCAGCGCAGCCCAACTGCCACCTCCCCCCGCCTTGCCTCGCTGTGCTGCCTTGATGCCTTCCATCTCAGCCCATCCCCACCACCACCACCACCACCAGCCGCGAAATACCCGGCCGTGACACGTGTCTCGCCCCCTACACCGCATGCAATGCCCATCCCCCAAAACACCTACACAGTACCCTTCTTTCATTCATCTGCGGGGACGCACATGGTCACTTCACATCTGTCACATCCACATCGCCGATTTATTTCCGGTTTCGTCCCGCCCATGACGGTGCTATGGTATGAGGTCCTCATTACCAATGCTGACGGCGAGGGACGCTGGGGGCTGGGGGGCGTGGGCTTGACGCCTTGCGCGTCCCGCCTCTTGTCCCAACTCCCCGACATGCAGGGAGGCTGAGGCGGCCAAGAAGGCCGAGCAGGCACGCAAGAAGGCAGAGAAGGATGCCCTGATGGCCGAGGACGAGCGCAACACGCCGGCCCGGTCGGCGCCCAAGAGCTCCAAGGCGGCGCCCAAGAAGACGGCGTCGCGGGGGCTGGACCTGTCCCAGCTGGACGACGAGGGCGGCTCCTCGGCCAAGGGCGGGCTGTCGACGCTCAATGCGTCGGGCATTGACAACGCGCTCGACGCGCTCTCGCTCGCGGGCGGCTCGTCGGACGCGGCAAAGGTCGACCGGCACCCAGAGCGCCGCTTCAAGGCCGCCTTCGCCGCCTTCGAGGAGCGCCGGCTCAAGGAGGCCGAGGCTGACGGCAGCATGGCGGGCCTGCGGCTCAAGCAGAAGCAGGAGCGGCTGCGCAAGGAGTTTGAGCGCAGCCCCGAGAACCCCTTCAACCAGGTCACGGCTAGTTACGACGCCTCCAAGGGCGAGGTCAAGGACATCCGGGAGAGCGAGAAGGACAAGATCGAGACCCGGCTTGCCGAGAAGGAGTAGGTGTCGTTATGTTGCTATGCTGCCTGCACTAGCCTGAATTGGCCTGCACACATGCATCTCGTCTGGCCATCTCACCCGCTCCCGTTGGGATAACCCGGGCTTCTAGTATATTACTCGGTTCCTTTTGCTATACATTCCATTCCCAAGCCCTCAAACACGTACCTACCTGCCAGCTGCATATGCCCCATCATCAAACGCATGCTGGCTTGACCCTGGCTGGACTGCATTTGTTTGCGCAAAGTTGGATGTTGTGATTTAAGCGCGCGGAAACAAAGACTCTCCCTCCCGACCGAATAGACGCAATAATCGAATCCAGTTCCTGTCCATCTTGTCGCTGTCTCGACCAAGATGAAAACCCACAGTTTTTGTTCCTATTCCTGCATTCTCCACACCGTACCTTTCTCAGCAGGCTTCTTCTCCCTCAGCTACCCCGCAGTGACCAGCAGCCGCACTGTATCTACCCCACCATGCCGTCATATTGAATCACTGTCCCGATGGCCGGACCCTTTTTTCTGCAGGGGCCGTTTCTGCCACGGTTGACCGCCCTCGGCTAGCATGGCCCCGGTGCTGCACGGGCGCTGGTCACGCCAAGCGCACTGCAATGCACGCCCTGTGTCGCGACAATTCGAGCCAGCCGCGCGTGTGTGTGCGCCCGCCCGTCGCATGATTGAGGGAAACGACCAGCCGACTTGATGGGCCTGGCCTTGCATCTTAATTGAGCGCTTTTAATTCATCGTTGTCCCAAATCCATGTCGGCGCGCGTTTCAACTCGACAAATGGGCCACGACGCAAAATGAACGACGCCAACGACGACGACGACGACCATCACAACAACACCACCATCGCTCTCAAACAAGCCACCCTGACCACCCCGACATGGCGTCCCTGAAGCTGTCTTCGCTGCCGTCGCTGAGGCGGCAGAACCTGCTTGCCGAATTGTATGCTAGACGAAACATTGCAAAATCAATCTACCAGAATGGGCTAAACTGACGCTTGTTTGCCGTCGTGTCTGTCACGCAGCGCAGGACTGAAGCAGGCCCGCCCCGACGGCGTCTTCGTCAGCTTAACCCCCGGCGATCCGACCCTGTGGTCGGGCGTCATGTTTGTTCGCAAAGGTGAGGACGCCCATACCGCTATCCTATCCGCCCGGGCATCCATCCCCCAGGAAACGAAGCTGAACAAGCCGAACCGCCCCGCGCAGGACCGTACGCGAACTCGATCCTGCGCTTCCAGATCTCGTTCCCCGACACGTATCCCCGCCTGCCGCCGCTGGTGACCTTCTCGACCGACATGTTCCACCCCCTCATCGCGCCCCTGACCACATACATGTACACCACCGACATCCACGACAACGGTACCGTCAGCGCCACCGATGACGAGCGCCTGCCCCCGGGCGGCTTCAGTCTGCGCCACGGCTTCCCCGCCTGGTTCGGCAGGGGCAGCTCCCGGACCAGGAGCGCCAACAGCAACGCCAACAGCGTGCAGCAGACGCCCCCGAGGCCGTCCAATCACAGCAATACTGATAACAACAGTGGCGGCAGCCAGGGTGCCGACGTCACTCCCGCGCCGTCCTCCAAGGTCTCGTCCGTCGGCGGCCCACACACCTACCTGCGCACGACGGCGGCCAGGGGCGAGGACGTGTCCACGTACGACGTGCTCCGCTACATTTCCAGCACCTTTGACGACGAGGACGTGCTCGACTCGATCCCGCTCGAGGCCGCCGGGAACCCGGGCGCCTGGCACGCCTGGAGGACGCGCCAACAGCAGAAGCAGCCGCCGCCGCCGCCGCCGACGGCCCCCTCGATCGATGGTGTCGCGGCCGGCGATGGGGCTGCCGTGCCGGATGCCCCGGAATCGGTGGCGCCTTCCGAGGACGGCAACGCCAGCACAGCCGGGACGACGGCCGGTGGTAGCAGCGTCGGCGCCGCCACGCCCGCCGCACCCCGCAAGCCTGGCGAGTGGAACTGGGACGGCGTGTGGGAGGACAGGGTCGACAGGCTCATCGCGGCCAGCCTGTCGGAGCAGGCGCTTTTTGGAAGCGCCGTGGCCGACGAAGTGGTGAGTGCAGAGTATACCACCGTGCCTGTGCCATGTTCTATGGTGTGCCGTTCAAGCTGCTGACTGATTTTGTTCGCAGATCCGGTTTGCGAACATGGAGAGGGGCGATGTCGGTCTTATTCAGGAGAATCTAATCAGGACTCTAGGGCCACCTATGTGAGGCCTTGATTTATTTTGTTCATTGTGGGGTGAATGCACCTTCCCCCTGAGCAGCATGTGTTATCTGGGAGGTACGAATCACCTTTTGAACTACCTCTGGTTGGAAGGCACGCATGTCTCCCTCGGAATTGCACCTGCCACCACCGATGCGTGGATTTCTGGGCACCTCGAAGGCGCCTCCTTGGGCTGGGAGGCAGTTTCCCTCGCCGTTGCATGGCGAAATCTAGCTACGTTTTTGTATTTTTGTTTTTGTTTCTCTTTCCTTTCCTCGTGTCTAGAATAGTTCGCTTTAGACTGGCAGCCACCAATACCCCCAAATGCTTTATTCATCTTGATTTCGATCCCATCATTTGAGGTCGACCAACTCTTAGACCAAGTATCCGCATCCAGGCAGTTCTCACTCGGCTCTTTTTCTTCAACCCGATCATAAGGGGACGATCCCGCTTTGAGCCTTGCTCCCGTGCCCCCGTGCACGGATAATGAGTAGCAGCTTGACCGTGGTTGGAGGTGTCGCGGTGCTCGTCCTCAGCGTCGCCCTCGCCGGCTCGGCCCTGGCCTGTTTTAGAAACGGCCGTGTTTTTTCCCCATCCCGTCGTCGGACGCTGCCCACGACATCCACCACCACCACCACCACCTCGGACGGCTCTTGGTTCTTCTTCTCCCGCCGCCGCCCCCGCAACCGCGCGTTCTGGCCGGAGCGGCTGGCCACCGCCGCCACCGCCACCAGCACCACTCGGAGCAACAGCAAAAAGTACAACAACAGCAGCAGCCCCTACAACTTCGCGGCGGACTCGTGGCGCGGCCTCGACAGTGCGCCGGACCTGCGCGCGGCCTTGGAACTGCAGCAGCAGCGCGAGAGCGGACGGACTCTCGACAACACGGCGGCGGCGGCGGTGGCGCGGGGGGACGAGGAGCAGCAAGAAGGCGACGACGAGGTATGGCGGCCGCGGCGCTGCAGCAACCTGACGTGGAGCTTCACCGACGTGACGACGCGGACGGCGGCGGAGCAGGGGTCGCGCTCACCGACGGTAGCAGCAGAAGCAGTGGTGCCCCGCAGCCCCAGCCCCTGCAGATTGTCAAGCGGCGCGAGAGCGTGCTCGGTGGTGGCTCCTCGAGGTCCGGCAGCGGCGGCACCGACTCGAGCGGCGGCCGCAGCGCTCCTGAGCCCCCCGGCGGCGGCGATGACGACGCGCCGCTGACGGTACGCAAGCGGAGGCCCAACGCCGGTGGGGTCGGGGTCGGGGTGAGGAAGCCGCGCCTGTCGGGCAGCTGGACCTGGGGAGGAGGCCTGGCGGGAGTTCGGCTGGGGCGCGATGATGGCGACGACGCCGACGGTGAGGCTTGCTACCCATGCTTTTTTTTTTTTTTTTTTTTTACTTTTCATGTGCATCTGGGGGGAAAGAAGAGCTGTTGGCTGACAAGGAAATGGGGAGCTGGGTCAGATGCCGATGGTGCCCATCAGCGCCGCGGCAGCCTCGGGCTCGCCACGCCGCGGCCGCTGGCAGGCCTCACGCCGCCGCCGGGTATGACGGCGCGACGACGTAGCACCAGGACCCCGTCTCTCGAATCCCTCGACATGACCCGACGGTTCCCGCAGCCGCCACCGTCGTCGACGGTCTTTGATATCGGCGGCGGCGGCGACCCCTACGCCCGCGCCACGACCTGCCTGCCGTTTTTGGACCACCGCCACAACAACAACAACAACAACAACAACAACAACAACAACAACAACAACAACAACAACATCAACAATAATAGCCGACAACACTACCGACAGAACTACAGCCCACCACCCCCTGCCCCCGTGGCGGAACCGTTGGTCCTCGTGCCCTGCGTCACGGTCACGCCCGACTGCAGGGGCGTGGATGCGGGCAGCGCGCGCAGCTTCTGGGCAGCTGTGCAGGTGACGACGTGGCTCTCGCGGCCCGAGGCCGGTGGCGGCGGCCGGTTCGGGGACGCCTGGGGCGCCGGGCAGGGACGGGCGCTTAGGGCTGTAGGCCAGGACGAGCTGGGTGGGTTTGTGATGCGTGCACCCATGTCTACCTAGTCTGCTCCACACACGCGGCGAGGCAGAGCTAGGGTTTTTGCTAACATTATGCATGCACGGGTCATCTAGGACTTTATCAATTCGGATACATCTATGACGTTAAGCTCGAGGTGCTCCCGGTGCACGGCAACTCTGACGTGCTCGAGATATTGGTCGATGAGGCAGCCCCGGCGTGAGTAGACCTCATCTGCCACATTCCTGTCTCACCTAACCCTTATTGCCTGTGTTGAGTGCTTACGTGTTCAATGTCACAAAAAATAGCATCCTCGAACCGGGCGCTCGGCTCCTGGCGCTCGCCCATATACAACTAGAGCCGACTGACGCAACAGTAGAATCGCCCGGCCGCGAGCCAGGGCAGAGGCACGACTCGGACGAGCTGATGAGGGACCTCGAGCTCCAGCTGGGCACGACGCGGACCGACTACCTGCGCGTGTGCCTGACGTACCGCCACTCGGGCTTCCCGCACCAGAAGCGAGCCCAAGCAGGTTCCGCGGCGCAGAGGTATAAACAGCAGCACCAGGCGCAGGCGCCGGCGCCGGCGGGCGACACGCCGTCGCCGTCATCGTCGGCATCGGCCACGGTGGCGGTCACGCACCGGATCGAGACCGAGGTCACGGCCACCATCGAGCGGCGCAACTCGGGGTCCCTGTGGTCCCCGACGCCGGCCGCGGCGCCAAACCCGCTGCTGCAGGTGGTGGCGTCGTGCTGGGGGGTCAGGGCGGCCCGCGACGTGATGCGACGCATATCCGCTAGGGCCGCCGCGGCCGAGGGTTTGGACAAGGCGGAAACACCCGAATCGTCGACACGGCCGCAAACCCCGGCCACGCCGACGCCGGCCTAGAGGTCCGCTGCCGCCAAAACCCTGCCCCGGAGACCCGCCACGGCGGCACCGCAGTCATCACACCGGCGGCCGCCGTCTCGCCTACCGTGCGCTTTCCCTCCGGTCAGCTCCGGCCGCCAACAGCAGCAACAGCCGACGGTACACGTGCCGGCCAGGCGCGCCAGCCTGCGACGAGACAGTGTTGCCGAGCAGCGCGCCGCCGCCACCACCGCCGCCGCCGCCGCCGATGCGGGCCGCACGGTCGAGACGGGGACACCCGATCCGGCGCACAGGATCTGGGGCCAGATCCGGCGCGCGTCGTCGCATCTACCCAAGCCGTCGCCACAGCCGACGCCGCCTTGGACGAGCGGGACGGTCGGGAGGCGTCTGGCCCCCGGCGGGCTGGTGGCCAGCCGCGTCGAGGGGCTGCAGCAGCAGGCCCAGGCCCAGGCCCAGGCGCAAGCACAGATGCGACCGCAGACGAGAGCATCGGCAGAGCCGCTAGCCAGCACCGGCGTCTGGCCCCCGCTGGCGTCGGCTGGCAACAACCGCGGCAGGGAGACGGTGAGGCGGCGCGAGGCGCTGTTGGAGACGGCCGTGCGGAACCGAAGGTCGCTTGGCGTGGACACGCTGAGGAGCCTGGTCCCGAGCGAGACGGATGGGGCTCCTGGAGGCGTCGAGTTTGGCATACGCCGGCACCACCAACAGCAGCAGCAGCAGCAGCGTGACGTCGTCCGGCGTGGCAGTGGCAAGGCGAAGAGGGAGTCTGGTGGGAGGTGGGGTTGGTCTGGGTGGTGGTGATGATGATGTGTCGCGCGCGTTATTAGTCATGGGCGTTTTTTTGAGATAGCAGAGAGAAACATTTATCATGGGTCATGGGGGTTAAAAATCACAAAAGAACAAGGATAGATAATCAAGTCTTCGTTTCTGGGCCTGATGGCAACTTTGGGCTCTCTGGTTTTGGACGCCCCTTGGATACAGCCGCGCTCCACGGCGGGTTGCCGTCTTGGTCGAACTCGGCCCACTGGAAGAAGGGGCAGCCCGTCTTGCCGGGGACGTTGCCCGCGTGGCACATCCAAAAGTACTTTCCCCAGTTCTCCCTCTTGCGCTGCACGACCCTCAGGACGGTCGGGACCTGGCACCTGCACTTTGGGGTGAACTTTGGGTGGAAGGCGGCCTTGTAGTCGCGGTAGGTGACGTTGATGCGCCGGTTGCCGGCCACGGGGTGCGGCTGGATGGCCTGGGCCGGGGCGATGCAGTGCTTCCACTCCTCCTGCATTTCGGCGTGCATGACGAGGAGCGAGTTGTGCGGCAGGTGGATCGAGATCTGGCCCTCGTTGGCGGCGTCCTCTGGCTGTTGTTGTTGTTGTTGTTGTTGTTGCTGCTGCTGCTGGTGACCGTCGCCGCCGCGCTCGTCCCCCTCCTCCTCCTCCTCCTCCCCCCCTGCTGGGCACAACGCGGCGGACGCGGAACTCGCGCGCGACGCCCAGGGACAGCGAGCCGATGACGGCGCGGGGGCCCAGGTACGTCAGCTGGTCGCTGTGCCAGCCGACGTTCTCGTGGGGCCCGTCGTAGCAGTTGACGAAGGCGGCGTTGGGCACGAAGGGGTCGGGCGACTGGTGCCGGAGCTTGCGCCCGCCCGGGTACCGCGTGCGGATCCGCTCCGCCACCTCGCGCTGCACCGCCGCCTGGACCCTGGGCCGGACGGCTTCGAGCTGGGGGGTGAGGCGGCGGACGTCCTGTTTTTTTGTGTGTGTGTGTGTGTTTGGTGAGTAAGGTACACATTCGCGAGGCACATCGCCGGAATAGGCACACCACCGGAATAGAACAAGGAAGAAGCAAGGAGAGAATTACATTCAACTTGGCGCCGTTGTACAGGTACTCGTACTTTTGCTGGTGCATCTCCTCGAAGCTGCCGACAAAGAAGGCCGTGGTGTGCGGGCTGGAGACGACATTGTCAAACAGCTTAAAGGTGATCTTCTCAAACGTCTCCGACTCGACCAGGAGCTCCCTTAGTAGCGCATTGGCGTCGTCGGGCGGCAAAAAGTTGTGCACCACGGTGCACGGGGTGTGCTCGGCGATGTCTATGGGGTCGTACAGGAACAGGGTCTTGCCTTTTCTCGACAGGGCCTTGGCCGTCCTCTTCTTCGCCGGGGAAGCGTGGGAAGAAGGAGACGACGAAGAGGACGAAGAAGGATGTGCAGCTGTTGTTGTCGTCGTGAAGGATCTCAGGGATGACTGAGTCCCCCCGCCCATGACGGCTCTTGTGCCCCCGCCGCCGCCACCAGGCTTCCCGGGCGCCAAGAAGGCCGCCGACAGGGACGCCGAGGCCTCGTCCACGGAGCCGTCGTGGGCGAGCAGCACGTCGAGCAGGAGGCCCTGGTCCAGGTCGGGGTGCAGCGACGACAGCAGGGCCAGCTTGAGGTCGGTCGAGTCCGAGTCATCGTCGCTGCTGGGTTTGCATCTCTTTCTCGTCACGAACGCGTCCATGGTGGAAGTAGTAGATACCTCTAGTATCATTCACTTGCGTCACAATCAGCGGACTCGGGCAACCAAATAAAGCCATCACCAAAAGGGCCAGGAACTTGCCGACAAGCCCACCAGGCAGCCCCGCCCAATGTCACGAAAACGGCGCCAGGACACGTGACACTCCCTCGGTCTAGTGCGCTCCAGCGGCAAAAAGGTGGGACCTCTTCCTAGCATGCGCAATCCGGAAAAGTTGCCGAGGCTTATTCTGGCCGAGAACTTCGCACTTGGACGACGTTTGATGCAAGCCCGGCTTCGAGATGAGTAATTCCCAGCCGCCTCCCGCACATCTCAGGTAGTGTGGACAGGATCGCGTAATCTCTCAAAGCTGGAAGGGGTTTCTCAACCCAGAGGAAGGGGGCCCATGGGAGCCAGCAGCCCGCCATAAAATAAAAACAACAAGCCCTGATCATGGCTGCCCCCATGCTCGAGTTCCGGACCCAGGGGTTCAACCCCTACGCCGTCAAGTACTCGCCCTACTTCGACTCGCGCGTCGCCGTCGCCAGCTCGGCCAACTTTGGCATCGTCGGCAACGGCCGCGTCTACTCGCTAGGGCTGACGGCGGCAGGGGTCCAGATTGAAAAGACGTGAGTGTTGAGAATCGTCGTCGTCGTCGTCGTCGTCGTCGTCATGGAACACGCAGCAAAAAGGCTGACCCGCCCCAGCTTCGACACCAACGATGCCCAGTATGATCTCGCTTGGTCTGAGCTCAACGAGAACCAGCTCATCGTGGCCTGCGGCGATGGCTCCATCAAGCTGTTCGACCTTGGCGTCAACGAGTTCCCCGTCATGAACTTCCATGAGCATAAGAGGGAGACCTTCTCCGTGTGCTGGAACCCCGTCACCAAGGACACCTTCCTGTCTAGCTCCTGGGATGGTACCGTCAAGATTGTGAGTTTGGTGTTCCAGTCCAGTCTCGCAGCTACGTCACGTGCTTCCAACCAGATACCTCACCTCCCCGAGCTGACAGCTTCTCCCAGTGGTCGCCCACGCGCAACCACTCGCTCAAGACGCTGCCCATCGGCAGCTGCGCCTACAGCGCCTCCTTCTGCCCCTTGAACCCGGCCCTCATCAGCGCCGCGTCCACCGACTCGTGCGTGCGCCTCTTCGACCTGCGCACGCCCGTGTCGGCAAAGTACCACCTTGTGGCCACCATACCGGTCCACGCGCCCTCGCCCTCGTGCCCCGCCCAGGCCGCGCCGCCCGCCGAGGTGCTCACGCACGACTGGAACAAGTACCGCGACTCGGTCGTCGCCGCCGCCGGCGTCGACCGCGCCGTCCGCACCTTTGACGTCCGCAACCCCGCCGCCGGGCCCCTCTCCCGCATGGACGGCCACCAGTTCGCCGTCCGCCGCGTCTCGTGGAGCCCGCACGCCGCGGACCTGCTCGTGAGCGCGAGCTACGACATGACGGTCCGCCTGTGGTCCGACTCGTCCGCCGCCGCCGGCCCGCCCCAGCCCCCCACCGCCCCGCCGCCGCCCACCGCCCAGGGCAGGGAGCTGGGCGTCATGAACCGCCACACCGAGTTCGCCACGGGAGTCGACTGGTGTCTGTTTGGCGCCGGCGGCTGGGTAGCCTCTTGCGCGTGGGACGAGCGGGTGCTGCTGTGGGACGCCAATGCCTTCATCCGGAGGTAACGGTGCCAGCCCTAGATTTTTGTTATCCTGCATCAGACGTGAAAGGAACCTTGGAAGCGGGCGCATTTTCTCCTGCTGCTGTGTTCTGGGACCTGGAGAATTTAATGGGAGCGTTGACGTTCCTTTCCGACACGGAGCTCCCAGCTCCCTGGGGTGATGGTGCCCCAAGGCGGCGAGGAAGGGAGCGAGATCGGGGCAGCGAGAGAAAACGTGGGAAGGAACGCTGTCCCCCTCCATGAGCCCCGTCCCGGGCGGATGGGTTCCCGACTCGCCATGCAGCAAACGCGCCAAATGCAACGCAGACCACTCCGAGAGGTCCGGGTCCGAGTTCAGGTGCGCCCACCGACCCCTGTGCAATGACACAATGCCCGCTGTGCGATGGTAGTGCTGGGCCACACCACACGGAAACGTAGGAACTGTGTCAAACGGGACTTTTTCTTTTTTTTTAGCTGGGCATTCCAGAATGGGGTTGCCCCGTGAGCTTCTTATCTCTTCTCAACCTGTATTCTAATCTCAGCCTTACCTGGCCAATATCGCTATGAACACCACGTCTGTTTTGTCGGCGGCCCGTTTTCGCCCCAGCGTTGCCGCGTCACCGAAGCAAACATGCCGTGGTACCTTTCTTTTTGTTAGTCCCTGTTTACTGGGCACGCTTGCGTGACAAGCTGGATGACTCCTCCCTTTTCAACCCACCTTCTGGTACTCTGGGTGTTCTTTGGCGTAGGCAGGTAGGTATTTATCTCTCTTCCTCCACGCGGCCCTTCGTTTCTTTCCCATCAACCCTGTGGTTAGCAGTTGGGGATAATATCTCATCGGCCGAGACACAATCAGGGCGCGTAAAAAAACCAGCAGCGCCCACCTACCTACCTACCTGCTTGCCTATCACATCTCCTCCATCCAGCTCGTACGCGTCAAGAACCAGGCTTTGCTCTGTCCTGCCACTCAAACAGCACCGGTTGGTTCCCTCTGCTCCCCCCCATCCAGTTGCTATGGAAGCACTAACTATGACGTAGCCCGGAGAACTACAGCAAAGATGTCCGACACGGAACTCTTCATCCTCGCCGCCTTGCTTCCTCTCATCTCAATCATTGGCATCTGCATTCTCTTTTGGTATATGAAAAAGACAGAGTGAGGGGCCGGAGAGATACGACGGGAGGGCTGGGGGATCATCGGGTGGGGGTGGGGGTGTTGTTGCTGTCTAAGCGCAACGTCAGGACACTTCTACATGGGCGAGACTGGATCAAGGATCACGAGCGCCGAATCCCAGCGGGAGACAAGACCACGATGAATTCTCAATCACTGAGCGCTGTACACATATATGCTTCGCTTCCTTGCTCATAAGCCAATCAATCTAGTCCCTTCACAAATCGCAAATCGCAAAAAAAAACGCGCAACTCGATGCGCTTGAAATAAAACCAACTTTCTCGCAAGATAGATTCATCTTCCCGCCGTTGACGATCAAGGACGCGTCGTCGAGTTTTGAAGAGCAAAACCTCGACGCAAGCAAGCAAGCTCCTAGTGCCGCTGATCTTCGGTGCCATCGACCCAGCTGGTGCAGTTGACACATCTCCGGGCCCTGCAAGGGAACGTGTGGTCAGTATGGAAGGGCAGAGAGCGTCCGCGATAGCATTGGATGAGAGAAGGGGACGGGATGGGTGAGAGGGAGAAGGGCAGCGGTCACGGCGTGAGTCGGTGTTGGAGGGCATGTGTTGGCATATGTCGGCATACTGTCATCAGGATGCTGCGTTAGTAACTTGTGCCACCAGCACCAACACTGCCAGGGCACGTCGACGTACCTTCTCGTTGATGTTCTTCCTGCAATACGGGCACTTGCGGAGGTGCTTGATGATGGGGTCCTTGGAGAAGTACTGGTAGAGGCCCGCCAGCGCATATAGCGAAATGCCGATGCCCAGGAAGTTGAGCGACTTGTTTACGAAAGACCTGTGACGCAAATCCGTGTCAGCTTCAAGGAATCAACTAGACGCCCGCTTAGGAAGCGGAGCGAGGGCGAGGAGAGCCTACCCCCAGGCCATGACGACGGCGGAATCGTCCTGGGCCATCTTGATGGTAGGGTAACCTCCATGCTTGGGGTCATATTTGGGCCCGGGTTTGAGCACAGCAAACTTCTCGTCTAGGTTTTTGTTCAGGGGCTACGTGCAACGGTGAGTGTCAGCAAAATCACATAAACGATGGTGTGAGGGCGGGTACATACCAGAAGCACACTTAGGGGCGGGAGCAGAATATCGGAAACAAACGAGTTGACAATGGTGGTAAAGGCAGCAGCAAGGCTGTGGGTGAATCCTTGTTAGTCAGGTCGGCCGAAGCTCACACTGACAGAGACGACTAGGGAACCCACATCAATCCAAAAGCAATCTCCAAGATGTTGCCCTGCAGAGCAAAGTCGAGGAAGCCATCCCACACGCGACGGACCCGCCGCTCGCCGGGGAAGCTCTCCTCGGTCCCGAGCAGGGGCCTCCTTTCGCGGTTTTCCCCTTGTGGCATGTTGGATGTTTGGATAAGGGATATCGCCTGTGACGAAGGAGAAAGAGCTGCCGGCGTGGCGAGATGGCAAAATACTCAAGTGTTTAGAGTTGTAAAAGAGCGGTCGCGGCAAGGGGGAAAGTTGGCGGTGGTCCGAAGTGCTTTTGCTTGTTTGTTTTCGGGGATATGCGGTTGGGCTGGCTGAATTCCATTTCGGGCGGCAGCCCGCCATCAGAGACAGCCACCCAGGATGCAGCGCACGGCCCACAGGTGGAGAGAGGTCCCCCAAACCGCTTCCATGACGTCATGGTCGATTGTTTCCGGCAACATGACCAATGGTCGTTGGTTCTTGCCATGGCTGCGAAGTCCTGTAATTTTAGATAGAGATGGAAGCTGACTATGATTGGGCACGAGGGCCGCCTGCACGGTGCCAGGTTGAAACTAAGCAGCAATTATTGAACAAGATAAACGAAGCCAAAGATTGACAAGAGCAACATGAAAGAAAACGCATCCGAGATACAGCTTGAGTAGTTCCGGGAATATAAAAAAATGCCAACCACGCAGCCCCTCATCGCCCCCGTCTCATTACGCGCGCCTGCGATAGACAGCAAAGAAGCCAAAGGCCCAGACCAGGGCCGCAAGCCCGGTGATCACGAACGAGGCCCAACTAAGCCCTCTAAACTTGGAACCCGCCTGCGCGTGCAGCCCGATCCGCCCGCCTTTGTCCTCGATGACGCCCGCCAGCTTGTCGCCGCCCACGGTGGTCAGCAGCGTGCCCGACAGCAGCATCACGGACGCGAGCAAGTGCACAAGCACGTTCAGCACGGCCAGCACGGGGGCCGCGCCGGGGAGCAGCAGGGAGACGATGCCGCCGAGGGTGGCGAGGCCGGCCAGCACGACGCCGGCGATGAAGAGCCCCGCCATGGCGCGGAAGATCTTGGGCGCCGCGTTGGCCACGTCGGCGATGGCGGCGCGGATGGGGCCCGGGATGCGGAGGTCGAGGTCCACGACCGAGAGCACGTTGAGCTCGGCGAGCGGCTCGGTGCAGCGGCTGGGGGTGAGGCCGTCCGACGAGTCTTCGCCGTTTGCGTACTGGCCAGAGCAGACCGTCATGGCGTGGAGGGCGTAGAAGCGCTCGACGCCGAGGGCGTCGGTGACGCTCTGGAGATCCTCGTCTTCGTCCTCGTCCTCCTTGCCGGTGCGGGGCTTCTTGGGCGTCTTGGGGGCCTTGGGGGCCTTGGGGGCCTTGGGCTTCTTAGGCGCCTTGGGCGCCTTGGCCTTAGCCGTCGTCGCTAGCGGGAGGAGGCTCTCGCCGAGCTGGCTCGTGTCGAGGAGGATGATGTGGGTGTCGGACATGAACCCCGGCTTGTAGCCGGCCAGCAGGGTGAGCAGGGCAAGTATGAATGCCGTGAGTGTAATGAGGAGGGGGGCGAGGGTGAAGAGTCGCTGCCGGCGTGTAGAAGACATCTTTGCAGTTGAAGTCGACGTTTTGTCGATGAGCCGAAAGGACGGGAGACGAGTGCCGGAGAAGTCAGGGACGCCGTTTTACGCCAAACACGCGGTCTTTGTCCCTGAGCGGCAGCCGCGCCTGGAAAGTGGCGCTGCTCTTTGGCCCGGCCTCGCCGGGCAAACAAAGAAAGATTGGGGGATCCAGCTGATAGACAGGGGAAGCAGAAATGAGCTTTCTCCATGGGCCCTGTCGCCGCATTCGTGCGATGGTGACAAAAAAATAGAAAACGAGAAGGGCGCTCAAACACCGTAGGCTGTTTGAGTGCAAATGTTGCTTCTCTCCTACCTATATATATCACACAAGAAAGAAAGCGCACATGAATGGCAGGCGGCCTTATAACACCGGATGGACAAGATTGATGGGAGGCAAGATTTGCAATTGCCATTTTGCTTAGCGGGTTCTTGCTCTTCTGCTCAAACCGAGTCCGCTGGCAAACACGCCCGTCAGGATGTGGTGAAGCGGCAAGAACGGGACACAACGCATGTATGCATCACCCATCAACAACAGCGATAGCGCCCAACAGCTGGCCGGGCCGCGAGATTGTATACAGTTATCAGTTGGGCTTTTTAATCGAAAAGATGGTGTCTTTTCTGGGAAGGTACCTAGGTTCCTACTTGGGGTGCCGTGCATATGGGATGTGGTAACAAAGAAAAGCTGCCGGTTGGGGCTGAGCCGAACAAATCTGGAATGCAATTCCGGATTTGGCAAAAACAAACTGCAAAAATAGAGTATTGTTGGAGGTGCTACTGCCCCCAGGCGGGATCGAACCGCCGACCTCATCATTACGAGTGACGCGCTCTACCACTGAGCTATACGGGCTGTTGGGGTCAGGGGCTTCACTTGTGGATTATAGCACCCCACACCAGTGCCACATCACGACCACCACGACAACTCGTCAGGGCCGCCAAGCTTTTTTCCTGCCACCATTTTCCTCCGTTTGACTTGAAGATCTGGGATTTGAAGGCAGTAATGGGTTTTTGTTTTCCAGAAATATTGGTTTAGCTGCTCATGCTACCTTGCTCTTCTGCTGGCCCCACATCTTACGACAAATCTGTGCACAAACCCGGTCGAGGCACGACGTTGTCCTAGGTCTCCAAAACGGCATCAAGAAGGACACCTGCTATTCATACTAGCACTGCTCAGATAGGCTGCCCTTGGCCACCTCGATAAACCTCCCACGGCCGCGCCGCATCGCCATTATGTGCCGTTCGATGCGGGCCGCGCGCGCAGAATTTTCTACAAAGCCGGCCGACTCGTCCACCTGCTCTGGCCTGGGCGTATTGTAGCCCCAGTGGAGGAGCAGAATCGTGACCTTTCCCCAAGCCCCCGCCCAGTCAACCCCGACGCTGCCGACAGGGATGGCGACCTCGGTTTCGTCAACGTCTCCATCGCCCCCAATGACGGCGCTGGAGAGTCCAGACGACGCTCGCGCGAGTGCCTCGGTCCACGCGGCGCAGCCTGTCAAGTCTAAATACTCCAGCCCGTATAGGCTTTTGGAGAGCCGCTTCAGCACCGCGACCGCCTCAGACCAATCGTCGTCCAACGAGTGGCTATAGAAGCCGGTACCGCCATATTGTACCGGGCCTGCCGGCGAGTCCACCGTGGTGCCAATGGCGTTGGGCGTCAGTGTGGGCTCTGGCCAATGCGCGAGACTGAGATGTGTGATGGCACCGCCCGCGTGTCTTGAGAAGGAGAGAAGCTGTCTCCATGACATTTTGTGCGCATTTTGCGGGCTCACCGCTAGCGACACGCGTGTTAAATTGGGCAGCAGAGGGAGGCGCAACGATTCCTGTGGCGCCTCTGGTGTGTCCCAGGAATCCTGTAGCCCCGTGTGCTGGGCCTCGGGGGGCGGTTGGCCCTTGAACAAAAAGCCCGAGAGCTCCTTGAGCTCTATGGACTTGCCCAGGCAGGCCATGAGGTCGAGGCAGCGTATGTTTTCGTTGGGAACGCCGCCACCATCGTTCGTTCCGCCCAGTTCCTCATCTCCAATATCTGGTGGAGGAAGGAACAGGGCTTTGAGGTCCGCGATAGACACCCCGGCCGCGCTGCATGACCCAATGTAACCGATGAGGGACTGGCGCAAGTGGTCGGGCAGCGAGTAAAGCCAATACTTATTATACTGCCGCTGGAACTCCCAATCAGTGGCCATGGCGGCCATGGCGATATCCATCAGGCTTCCACGGTCGGGGGCATTGGTGCCAGGAAGTTCGTTTATCACGAAGTCAACTCCCGCCACGGCTCCGACGAGCTGGTCATGAGCCCTGCGAACATGTGGCGCGTGCCTGGACTGCGACAGCCAGCTCCGCGGGGCCGCGGGGCCGGGCGGCAGACGGCGGCCACGGGCGTCGACCATGGGGCGGCGCGAGCGGGGCTGGATCGGCACGGGGGTCTCGGGCAACTGGAGGATCTGGCGGAGGGTTGGCGGCACACTGGGCACGGGGTGCACGGCGGCAGCGTGTGCGGTTGGCTGGGAGCTGCCGTCGGCGCTGCTGCTCACCCTCACCCTCCGCAAATCGGCGAGGAGCTCGTTCACGCCTCTGACATGATGGTCTGCATGTGTTCGGGGGCCGGTTAGCACGAGGGCAGAGGCTAGGCTCCCTGCGTCTCTTGACCAGAAGACGGCTGCGCTGAGCGTGGCCATTGGCTGGGTTTGTGTTTCGTATTGAGGGGATCGCAGGATGCCGCTACGTATGCTGTGTAATGGTCACATCCCGCCCCGGACGCCAGTAGCCACCTTTTGCTCCTGTTTTTTTTTCTTTTTCTTTTGCTTTTTTCTGTCTTTGTTCATCGCAGGCAATCCGAGCACCCGGGCTTGCTCCCGTGCCGCCTGGGACGGCAGGTGAGCGCACGACAAAAGGAGGCCTCACACTGGCACACTTACCCTCCGAGTTTGCAGCTTGCGCCCTCGAGCTGGCGAGCGACGGTGGCGGGGTCGACTGCGGCTTTGTGAAACTGGTCGGGCGCCGTTTCTTGGCCATCTTCAACGTTGCTGGTGTGGAAAAGCGGCGGCGGGCGCGAACCTCAATCGAGGCCGCACGTGAAGTCAAAATGCGCAACCAAGAGCCAAATGCATCTTCAACGCATCATGGCAGTAGGTAGCCCAAGGCGGTGCGTCAGTTTCCACACCGTAAGAGTCATCGTAGTTGGCGCCGACTGGACTTGTCAGCACCTTCCAGGCAGGAGAATCCTTGCAGCGCAGCCCGTGCCTGCCGCCCCAGCACGCCCAGCTGGGAGCACCTGCCAATAACGCGTCGCGCCCCTTCTAATTTAGGGTTGCAGGAGGTTAGGCAGTGCGGTTTGGCGCACGTTTGGCCCCCACCTCGCTGCCGCTGTTATTGGACCATGGCATGAATGATGGATGGGCAAGGGATCGTCGTGATGCCTTGCATTTAACCTCAACATTATCAACATCATCAACAACAGCAACAACAGCATTCCCGGCTTCCATCGCCGCTTCCACCCTACCACGTCACCAGGAACATTGGGCATGGACGCCGCGCTCTACCACCGGCCACAACAGCTCCGTCGCCTGGGCCACCGCGTGCCTCCTCGACCCAGCGTGTCCCCAGGCCTAGCCTCACAAATAGCACACATGTTGGAGTGCCACAACAGCTCGCAAAGCAAAAACACCATGTCAACCGGGGCCTCGCTGTGCTACCTGGGCCTGGACGATCACTGGATATGTGGGCCCGCCTCTAGCCGGCGCTGGCAGTGCGAAGGAAGCTCTGGGGGGTGGCGACTTGGGTTGCTCCTCGGGGCGCCAAGGCTGGGGATACTCCCCGGCGAACGACCAACATGCAGAGCACACATCAGCCAGGCCCTTGCCCCTTGCCTTCTTCGTGCTTATTGGTCGCGTGGCTCATGATGGCGCTGCAGCTGCCCCGGGCGATAATGTCCACTGCGCGCTCCTCCCGGTTCCGGGATTGCTCAGGAGAGAAAGGGATGGCCATGTCGTTTGATACGCCAGCTGTTCGCGTCCATGGACTCCCTCATGCACGCTCTGCAGCGGAGTTCTCCGCAACACCGTCCGTGGCTCCCACACGACCTGCACCTTCACGGGCTGCGTTCCTGGATGGGAAAAAGAGGCGCGGTGGGCGTCGTCCTCCGCCCTCGGGAGCTTCGGCTAGACGGCTGGCTGCGGAGGCCATTCTCTAGCTCCAAGCTAGTCTGGTCCGGCCATATGGAGCGTCTGCTCCTTCTCGTCCGCCCGGTATCATGAGACGTCACTCGCTCGCCCTTGGGCGCAAGCGTATCTGCGCAGTGAGCAGCCAGCCAGATGCACGCCCAGATTAACTGAGCCCATAGCCAGCATCTCACCTCCGCTCGCCGCCGCCCGAGCCAGTGTCTGGACGGGGGACGGCGGATGCAGATGCACGATGGGGCTACCATACGTCCGTAACTCTAGACAGGGTTGCTGGGCGAAGCATGGTGCCTCTCGGAGCCTGACTCGAAGCTGGAACGCCGCCTGGCGCCAAAATGCTGCAGTAGCGGCTCTGGGCTAAATCTACGCCAGCTCAGGGCGTGTAGGTGGTGTGTGTTGGCGTCATGACGCCACGGCTGAAAGCTTCACCCCTCACTCTCTCCAACGGGGAAAGCATATCTGCGGTTCCAGCCCAGCTGCCTCGGTAGCCTTGCACCTCGGGTAGCTGTGAGGTAGCTGTGAGGACACAATGGGGACCTGCCGCATCCTTCCATGGCACGGCAGCTTGGTTCTTGAGAGCCACTAGCTCCGCCGGCGAGACGCTTGTCGAACCTGCCAATAACCCCCTGGCAGTTGGCAGTTGGAATCCATTCGCCCATGGCCAGGAACAGGGCATCAAGCCTCCCCCGGGGCGCCCGGCTGTTTCCTGCCGCTGCTACCAGACGTGGACTCTTGTCACGCCTGTCATTGCGCCTTGTTGGCCTGTCCAGGATCGTTTCATGTCTGGGTGGCGGTCCTGCCTGGTCTGTCATATGTGAGACCGAGGTACCTGCTGCCAACTGGGCCCGTGGCCGGGGCAGGGCTCACGTCAACGTTACACTCTGGAGACTGGTGTCATCTCTGCCGCCGCCACGACCGCAGCAAACAGTGCGACTAGCGTGGCGTCTAGACACTCGCTGTCGAGTACACGGCAGCCCGAACCCCCAGGATCCATGTGGCAGGGCGTTCTTGGCACTCTGATATTTCGACATCCCTTTCGGCCCTTTCGTGTTTTGGTCCGGGATCGCATGCGTAAAGCGGGCTAGAGCAGAAGCAAGCCCGGCAAGGAGGGGGTGTGGCCCGCCAAGGGCGAACGAAGCTCGACGGTGGCAGAGGCTAGCCCGAGACGAGCAAGATGTTTTACAGAGGACCTTCACCTCACGCCATGCGGCCGCCCGATTTGTAAAAGACCGTCCAACTGCCGAGATAGCTTAACGGCTGTCTAGGTAACCTCTTGAAACCGTGCATGACTACCGGCCATCGCCAGAGGAGGACGGGCGGCACCAAGACAAGCAGCTCTGCCCAGAGGGTCATCTAGCTGTTTCCGTCATGATCTTGGTCCGGATCATCCGCCCAACCACCCACCTCCCTTCACTCCTGACAACGCATCCTCCACGCCCCCCTCCTCCGCCTCGTTACTGTCCCTCTCTCCACTCACCCCCTTCTCGTCCCCGCCGCCGTCTCTGACCATTTCC